AAAGGTAAACTGTTTAAAGGTAAAATGTTTCGAAGCTAACCCTCTCAATTTCAATGCATTCTCGAATTAGTCTTGGCCAGTAATATTGGTGTTGCACAACACTTCAACGTTATCAAAATAAATTGAGTGTCCTTGTTGGCAAGCATATTCTGCAACTGCCGACAGTTATGTTTGAGAGTATTTAATATTTCTTTGGTGTTCTTTGAGGCTTAGGCTCATGTTACGTTCCGTCCGTCCAATATCGCATCTGCCACATAAGAGATGAAATCGGATACACACCTTCTCTTGATAACGTATGCAATTCATCTTTAGTAAAACATACTAGCGTTTGAATTTTGTGCACCGTGCCAAATCTTTCTTCGATTTTTTGCTTTTCCAAAACTCGAGATAATTTATCAGTTACTCCCGCGATATATGGTATTGTAATTGTTTTCATAACCTGATCGCTTTCAGCAGCATTGCTGTTAGATCTTGGTTTGGCATTCAGTGCTCTGTTAATTTGAGCATTATTGTAGCCATTCAATCGTAGCGCTTCTTTAACGTGTTTAATCTCTCTCCTTAGACTTTCACCATCTGACACTGTTTTAGCCTCATGTATGGGCGTCTTGATGAGAGAGGATTTCTGTGCTGGGTGATGATGCGAATCTGCATTCAGTTAGGCGTCAATGTGCGTTCCCTTTCGGTAAACGCCGTGTGGTGTTCTTTTACCATTTAGGCCGCGTCCGAGCAAAATATCTCGGAAAGGGAGTATGTTATTCACCTCCATATCCATGGTGAACTGGATGGCTGGGTTTTGTGAATTGAGATGATTTAGCAATTAATTAAGTGTATCTTTACCATGTGGTCAGACAACTAAAGTGTCATCTACATATCTTAACCAAAAATATTGTTTTAATGTACTTGAAGCAAGTGCTCTTGTTTCAAAGTTTTCCTTGTACAGATTCGCGATAGCAGAAGATAAAGGAGAGCCCATTGCTGCTCCTTCCTTTTGTTTAAAAAAATCACCTCTCCATAAGAACTAAGTGTTATTCAAACAATGGTCAGCTAGTTTTGGATTATCTTTTGGTAAACCTGCCTTATTTACTTCGGTATCGAGTAATTTAAGTGACTCGTTAACTGGAACCTTTGTAAATAGAGAAATTACATGAAAACTCACCAGAATATAATTAGGGTTAAGTTTAATATATTTACTCACATCCACAATATGCTCTGAGTTTCTTATGAATGAAGATGTCCTACCGATGTAGGGCTGTATTTGTTTAGTTACATATTTTGCTCATTTATATATGGCAGTGCCTATTGGACTTACTATGGGTCGTACTAGGATACCGATTGTATGAATCTTTGTTAGCCCGGACAGTCGAGGTGGTTTCGTGGCCCTTGGCTTAATTTGGTATTGCTGGTTGATGTCATTACCAGCGAAACGTCGTACTACTCAAATTTAAATGCTGTAGATTTACTCTCCAACACACCGGTGGGCTGACATAGTAACTAATTGGCGTTTGTTTACGCGACAAATCCATTACTAATTGGCTGTATCCGGTAGTGGAGGGCTACGACACAGTTATACTTACGCGATCTAACAAAAAAAACGTTATTATAAATCAATATTTTAACCAACTGTCCATTTTGTGAGGCATCCTAACTAGCTGCTAGTAACTGCAAGCGAATAAAAAAATGTTCAACGGACTCTCTGCACGCGTTACATCATTTGGTCTTGCTCGCTGGTTACTCTTGGAAACCGCATTGTTGACGATCAATGCGTTTGGAAAGGTCTTTCATAGCGTTCGAGGTTTCCATATGGATTTCAAATTTGTCTTCGTTATTTTATATTGGCAGATTAATACATGATTATTAAACAATGACTCTCACGCATTATATAATTTCACACATTTATAAATCACCTCACGTACCTCCTGGGACATTGCTATGTACCCCCAGGTGTCCACTTACCCCCAGTTGAGAACCACTGGTCTCTAGTGATGGGTGATGGTCTCTAGTGATGAGTGATGGTCTCTAGTGATGGGTGATGGTCTCTAGTGATAAGTGATGGTCTCTAGTGATGAGTGATGGTCTATAGTGATGAGTGATGGTCTCTAGTGATGGGTGATGGTCTCTAGTAATGAGTGATGGTCTCTAGTGATGAGTGATGGTCTCTAGTGATGGGTGATGGTCTCTAGTGATGGGTAATGGTCTCTAGTGATGAGTGATGGTCTCTAGTGATGAGTGATGGTCTATAGTGATGGGTGATGGTCTCTAGTGATGGGTGATGGTCTCTAGTGATGAGTGATGGTCTCTAGTGATGGGTGATGGTCTCTAGTGATGGGTGATGGTCTCTAGTGATGAGTGATGGTCTATAGTGATGAGTGATGGTCTCTAGTGATGGATGATGGTCTCTAGTGATGAGTGATGGTCTCTAGTGATGGGTGATGGTCTCTAGTGATAGGTGATGCTCTCTAGTGATGAGTGATGGTCTCTAGTGATGGGTGATGGTCTCTAGTGATGAGTGATGGTCTCTAGTGATGAGTGATGGTCTCTAGTGATGGGTGATGGTCTCTAGTGATGAGTGATGGTCTCTAGTGATGAGTGATGGTCTCTAGTGATGGGTGATGGTCTCTAGTGATGAGTGATGGTCTCTAGTGATGGGTGATGGTCTCTAGTGATGAGTGATGGTCTCTAGTGATGAGTGATGGTCTCTAGTGATGGGTGATGGTTTCTAGTGATGGGTGATGGTCTCTAGTGATGAGTGATGTTCTCTAGTGATGAGTGATAGTCTCTAGTGATGGATGATGGTCTCTAGTCATGGGTGATGGTCTCTAGTGATGGGTGATGGTCTCTAGTGATGGGTGATGGTCTCTAGTGATGAGTGATGGTCTCTAGTGATGGGTGATGGTCTCTAGTGATGGGTGATGGTCTATAGTGATGGGTAATGGTCTATAGGGATGAGTGATCGTCTCTAGTGATGGGTGATGGTCTATAGTGATGGGTGATGGTCTCTAGTGATGAGTGATGGTCTCTAGTGATGGGTGATGGTCTCTAGTGATGGGTGATGGTCTCTAGTGATGGGTGATGGTCTCTAGTGATGTGTGATGGTCTCTAGTGATGGGTGATGGTCTCGAGTGATGGGTGATGGTCTCTAGTGATGGGTGATGGTCTCTAGTGATGGGTGATGATCTCGAGTGATGGGTGATCGTCTCTAGTGATGAGTGATGGTCTCTAGTGATGGGTGATGGTCTCTAGTGATGAGTGATGGTCTCTAGTGATGGGTGATGGTCTCTCATGATGAGTGATGGTCTCTAGTGATGAGTGATGGTCTATAGTGATGGGTGACGGTCTCTAGTGATGAGTGATGGTCTCTAGTGATGAGTGATGGTCTATAGTGATGGGTGAGGGTCTCTAGTGATGGGTGATGGTCTCTAGTGATGAGTGATGGTCTCTAGTGATGGGTGATGGTCTCTAGTGATGGATGATGGTCTCTAGTGATGAGTGATGGTCTGTACTGATGAGGGATGGTCTCTAGTGATGAGTGATGGTCTCTAGTGATGGGTGATGGTCTCTAGTGATGGGTGATGGTCTCTAGTGATGATTGATGGTCTCTAGTGATGAGTGATGGTCTCTAGTGATGAGTGATGGTCTATAGTGATGGGTGATGGTCTCTAGTGATGGGTGATGGTCTGTACTGATGAGGGATGGTCTCTAGTGATGAGTGATGGTCTCTAGTGATGGGTGATGGTCTCTAGTGATGGGTGATGGCCTCTAGTGATGATTGATGGTCTCTAGTGATGAGTGATGGTCTCTAGTGATGAGTGATGGTCTATAGTGATGGGTGAGGGTCTCTAGTGATGGGTGATGGTCTCTAGTGATGAGTGATGAGTGATGGTCTCTAGTGATGGGTGATGGTCTCTAGTGATGAGTGATGGTCTCTAGTGATGAGTGATGGTCTCTAGTGATGGGTGATGGTCTCTAGTGATGAGTGATGGTCTCTAGTGATGAGTGATGGTCTCTAGTGATGGGTGATGGTCTCTAGTGATGGGTGATGGTCTCTAGTGATGAGTGATGGTCTCTAGTGATGAGTGATGGTCTCTAGTGATGGGTGATGGTCTATAGTGATGAGTGATGGTCTGTACTGATGAGTGATGGTCTCTAGTGATGAGTGATGGTCTCTAGTGATGAGTGATGGTCTCTAGTGATGGGTGATAGTCTCTAGTGATGGGTGATGGTCTCTAGTGATGGGTGATGGTCTCTAGTGATGAGTGATGGTCTCTAGTGATGGGTGAGGGTCTCTAGTGATGGGTGATGGTCTCTAGTGATGAGTGATGGTCTCTAGTGATGGGTGATGGTCTCTAGTGATGGGTGATGGTCTCTAGTGATCTGTGATGGTCTCTAGTGATGAGTGATGTTCTCTAGTGATGGGTAATGGTCTCTAGTGATGGGTGATGGTCTCTAGTGATGAGTGATGGTCTCTAGTGATGAGTGATGATCTCTAGTGATGGGTGATGGTCGATAGTGATGAGTGGTGGTCTGTACTGATGAGTGATGGTCTCTAGTGATGAGTGATTGTCTCAGTGATGAGTGATGGTCTCTAGTGATGAGTGATGGTCTGTACTGATGAGTGATCGTCTCTAGTGATGAGTGATGGCTTAGTATTTAGTTAGCTGCTTATCCATATATTTGTTTTTTCAATATCTATGTTGCCACACGTTGAAGCAGACACTATGCACTGATTGCAAACGTTACTCTTCAGACACAGTGACACGCTACACGCGTTTCATTATGAAGCTCAGTTTTTGCAGGGTGGTTTTTTGCTGAATTCTTTAATGCGTGTGTCACGTCTGAGCGAACTCATTTCCCAACACCGCACGGATTACGCGGTGTCCTCAAAGAGACAGCAAACGTCTATATATATTTATTTCATAGACAAAAATTGACATAAATTATTTTGGCTTAGGGAGCTAATCCACTGGACATGTTCCAACCCTGAGATGGGTGGTGACACGTTCCGCCCATCGATCTGAGTGGAGATATAAGGGCCCGTGTCCACCTCTGTCCCTCATTCTCTCACCAGAATCTTCTCACAGCAACTCCTGCCCTGCCAGACATCACCCGACACATCCACAGGTATGGTTGCAGTGGTCTTCTTCTTCTTCTCTGGATGGCTGATGTTGATGTAGAGGCTAATCATTGTCAACAGTCGTGGAGTGTAGTGTACTGTTTTTGACGATGCCTTCATATATAACTTTGTGTGAGTTTATAGGTCTCTACGTGAGTCTATGGGTCACAGTGTGAATCCGTAAATCTTTGTGTGAGTTTATAGGTCTCTATGTGAGTCTATGGGTCTCAGTGTGAACCGGTAAATCTCTGTGTGAGTTTATAGGTCTCTATGTGAGTCTATGGGTCTCAGTGTGAAGCCGTAAATCTCTGTGTGAGTTTATAGCTCTTCATATGACCTATGGGTCTCAGTGTGAATCCGTAAATCTCTGCGTGCGTTTATAGGTCTCTACGTGAGTCTATGGGTCTCAGTGTCAACCCGTAAATCTCTGTGTGAGTTTATAGCTTTCCATATGACCTATGGGTCTCAGTGTGAATCCGTAGATCTATGTGTAAGTCTGTAGGTCTCCATATGAGTTTATGGGTCTCTGTGAATCTATAGATCTCTATCTTCTTAATCGTATGGCTAATGTTGATACAGCTGAACAACTGTAATTCCACATTGAGGTGGTTAATGAACCAGATAATTGCGTCAGGAGTAGCGGAGTGGTGTATCACTGTGATGATGCCCCATCCTTTGTACGGTACCTGTATTTGTGATTGAGGCATTGAGTCATTAGATGTTCCACGGTTCTGTTCTGGGTGCCCACAGTCGCCGCACACTGCCTTATTCTGTGTGCTGCACGTCTCATTTGTCCGTCATCGAGTATCAACTGGACCTCCGATTAGCACAGTTGAATATGTACGGTGCGAAAGAAGTTCAACATACATAGATGCAAAAGGGCTTCATAGCACATCGGACTCCTTCAGTCTAAATACATATTCTGATTATAAGTATCGGCAACTGCTGCTGCCGCCACGGTTAGTGCAGTGGATGTGGATCAGGGGTTGTGGTCCATGAGCTTCAGGGTGGAAGATAGAAGCCAGGGATCTTAGTGCAGTCACTGCAGTGGATGTGGTTCAGGGGTTGTGGTCCATGAGCTTCAGGGTGGAAGATAGAAGCCAGAGATCTTAGTGCAGTCACTGCAGTGGATGTGGATCAGGGGTTGTGGTCCATGAGCTTCAGGGTGGAAGATAGAAGCCAGGGATCTTCTGCGCCGTCGCTTCTCTCACGAGGAGGAGGCAGCGGCGTTTGGCTGGAGTGGTGCTCGCCTCTGATGAGAGAACGAACAGAGTTGTGATGATGCTGCTGCTGCGCTGGCAGTGGCTCTGGAGCACAATGAACAAATAAACTCAACATATGCGTTAACAATGCACATTACATATAAAACTAAACTCGGCATTTCAAGCAATGTCCCTTCATCTCTTCATTATGAACAAGGGCCATAAACCCGAAATGTTGCCCCTCGTGTTTTTTTTTACTTTAACGGCAGTGCTATTGATATAATGTGTTGCGTTTTTGTTAACTGTGATTACGGCTGTGGTTCGGGTTGCCGCGATACAGTACGATATTCATTTTCACGATACGACGATGTATCGTGATGTCAGTTTCCTCCTTTTTGTGTGGTCTCCTCTCATTCTGACCGCCGCACTTTTACATCCCTCCACGCCTGGTCGATTGCCGTGACAGAGAGACCATGACCTCCACAATGAAGATCCGCAGCGGAGGTGTGGGAAGCTTCTCCAGCCGCTCGGCTGGTGGCAGCGTGGGGACACGGCGCCTGGTGAGTGTTGAGAGGGAGGCCTCGAAGCCAAGGGTGAGCGGCTCTGGTAGGACAGGGTGAGGAGTTATCTCGGCTAAGTGACCATCGCCCATCAGTCCAGAGCAGTGCTCTTCGTTGCAAGGCCCACGGGCCACTGGCCGCTCCTGGTGGCCTTTAGTGCGGCCCCTGATGTGTGGTCCCCGACAATACACGAGTGGGAAAACACCCCCCCCCCCCCCCCCCCACCTTGCTGCTGTCAAACGCCAATGGTTTTAAATGTGTGGTGGTCCTCAAACTGATGATGTCTAACCGGCGAAAGTGGCCCGCTCTGAATATTAGTGAAAAACACTGGTCCAGAACGTGACTCAGGCTGAATGATCTCAGAGGACCCTGTTGAGCTAAGCAACTCCGTTACCAGGACAACCACAGCCCAAGGCCGTCAACAGTGGCGGCGACAGTCAGAGGACATTGCAGGGCGGAGGAAATGTGCAAACTAACAAAGGCAAAAACAACAAATTATTTACACGAAACCCATGCCAGAACTTAGTGCAAACAGGGTAAATAACAAGAAATCGTGTTTGCGTATGAATTGACAAGTGTCAAAACAATCTATGGGACCCTTTTGCCAGTATCAAGATGAGGAAAAAATAACATGCTTTACACTTTCAGTAGACTTTGAGAATGAAGTAGTAATAATCTACGATTAATATAGCGTCATTCATGCTAATTGCATCTCACAACGCTGGACATTAGTTATATCCATAATCACACGAAGGGGCTAAATCCTATATATATAACAATTGTTAAGTAAATACAAAACTCTCAGAAAATAAAACAATGACGAAGTAATTTAATAAATGGGACATCAACACAGCTGTCACAACGTATGGTGCGGATACCAAATCTACTCTATCTACTACAGTACACACATTCATATGACACAATTATTATTAACATAACATATTATAATTCTCATTCCCGAGCAACAGGTGAGCAGCTCCTCCAGCGTGTACGGTGGCGGTCTGCGAGGAGGCCACGGCATCATCGCCGGCGGCTGCTACGGGGGCGGCCTCGGGTACCAGAGCCACCACGGCCTGGGCATGGGCATGGGCCTGGGCGCCGGCATCATCCAGGGTAGTGACGAGAAGCAGGAGCTGCAGGGCCTGAACGACCGCCTGGCCGGCTACATCGAGAAGGTTCGCATCCTTGAGCAAGCCAACAAGGAGATCGAGATCAAGATCAAGGAGCTGCTCAAGGGGAAAGGTCCGACCATCAAGGACTACAGCATGTACTACGCGACCATCGAGGACCTGAGGGCCAAGGTACTTGGCCGCATCCAGCACTGTCAGCTTTGACGCTGCAGGCCAAACCCGGACGTATTTCTCTATTATAAACACCGCAGAGTCGACTGCGAATTCAGCAATAGCTGTACCAGATCTCGGTAGAAATAAATTCCTGCTGCCACCTGACACACAGATCCCAATTCCTGGGTTGGCCCGATCAAACTGGGAAAGGTGCCAACCCTAACCTCATCTCTTCCCAATGGTCCCAGACACTATGGGATTTAGTGATAAGATGTTAACTATCCTTAATAATACAGTTGTTAACGCTTTAGCTCGCTGTGTCCATCTGTCTATCTGTGGGGTGTCTGTACTAGAGGCCACAATGACTCTCGTAAGGATGATCGAATGTTAATTGAACTGGAGAGCCTTGGTAGGTTATTGAGTGGCCTGTGATGTCAGTCAATGCACTGACCTCACCAAGTGCATCTAATTTTTGTTGCTTTTAAATCTGGAAATTCAAGGTGCTTTCCCACTCAAAGGAATGAGGTCATGATCTCAGGTTCTAAACTAAAATAAAACTATTTTCTATTTTACCAAGTAAGGTCCACTGAGCTGTGTAGCATTTTCAGAAGCGACCTGGCCACAAATGATAGCTCAACGAAGTGGCTTATCACGTGGACATCTATAGCAACCAAATACTCTAAACGGGTGATGTTGATTCTATATGTAAAGGGAAAAACCGGAAGACCTGGAGAAAAATCCACGTGACCATGGGGAGAACACACAAACTCCAAATATACAGCAGCAGGCGCCAAGGTCGGGATTGAACCCACGACCTCCTGTATACCAGACGAGGTAGTTAACATCTCGCCACCGTGGCACCCCCCAGCCCTGCACCAGTGGCAGACATTCCAGATTCCTACGTTGTTGTTGTTGTTTTTGTGCCTGGTGGTCACCCATGCAGGCACTCTTCAGACTCAAAACCTGCTTAGCTTCCAAGGCCTGATGAGATTGCGTGCACTCCAGGTGATTGGTCATTGGCTTATGTCCACTTATTGTGTCCGCAACTGCTCACTGTATTTCATTTGGTACCACAGATTCTGGCCCAGACCCTGGAGAATGCCCGGGTCAGCCTGGAGATCGACAATGCCAGGCTGGCAGCCGATGACTTCCGTTCCAAGTGAGTGACTTTTAAAAAAAATTCAGTTAACATTTTTCAGGTCGCTGGGTATACAGCCCAGCGCGCTAACCACTGCGCCACCGCTCCACACCCATGTCATTGTAGAATGTGTTTTTATGAGGCGCAGATATTTTTACTGGGGACTTAAAAATCAGTGTAGCTTCACCCGGTATTAGACAACGACCTGTGGAAGGTGACATCACAGAACTACATCTGATAGCCCTTCATTTACCTTTTATCCACACTGTGTGGTGTCACCTTCTCACACGCCCTGCTATAAACGTGATAGTTTTCTTTAATCCTAAGAGCTGGACATAATCCAAGTTAACTGCAAAATCGAATTTGAACATGATAGTGTGTCTATCAATTAATTAATCAAGGCTCTCAATATCAGAGGGAGTGGTGCTTCCCCGGGTGGCATTACAGTCAAGACACCTTCCTCGTCTTTAAAGTATTTCACTAATGCCCGTTGCAGATGTCACTGCTCACTTGAAGAGATCTAAGAAGTAGTTCTGTCCTATCCACTTCAGCGGGGCGTCCTTTAACACAAAGAAAGACACTTTGCGTGAGGTGTCTACCAATGTCCTTTCTGTAAGCTAAATTGTATCAAATTACCCATATGACGGAATCTCAGAAGTAGTTCTGTATTATCCACTTCCTTGGGCTCTTCTGTAACGCAAGCACAACCCTTCGCATTCGCCACCCACGTTTGTGCTCAACATCCATCTAGACCCGTTGGATAAAATGTGCTCGCTTGACGTGACCTCAGAAGCAGTTCTGTGGTATCTGCTTCCGCGCACCATTCTCCGAGTCGTCCGGCCCTACCCATTGTGCCGCGACGAGCCGGCTGACAATGCCGGTGTCGCTCCGCTCAGGTGGGAGACGGAGCTGGCGCTGCGCAACTCGGTGGAGGTGGACATCGCGAACCTCAAGTGCCTCTTGGACGAGTACAACATGGCACGCATGGGGCTGGAGGGAGAGATCGAGGCCCTCCGGGAGGAGCTCATCTTCATGAAGAAGAACCACGAACAGGTGCCCTCCGCGTGCCCCCCCCCCCCGCCCCCGCAGACGAATTTACATTGCCCGTGATTTAGCTGGCGCGCATTCATGATCATGGTGTGAGGAGGGTTGGGAGGGACAGAGAGAGAGATGGACAGACAGATCTATAGACTGACAGACGGATAGACAGACAGAGCTCTAGAAAGCTGGGCAACTCAAAGGATAGACAGACGAACAGACAGGCAGTGGGGCAGACAGGCAGGCAAATTGACAGATAAATCTAGAGACAGATGGATAGTCGGAAGAAGGGCAGATAGGAAGACGGACATTTTTTTGACACACCTGTCATTCACCACTAAGTGGCAGTGACGTCACCACGGCGCTCGTGCCAGGCTCGGTGCACTTTGAGGCCACATGAAGTGTCGAAGGCCCGCTGGTTTCAGTTTTCAGTTTCATTTATTTGGTATAGCCCTGTGAGCCATTCGGCTCTTGAATCAGGTGCAACCGCAACAAACAAAAAACAAAAACATGAACAAGAAAACATCTAAAAGTTATTTGAAGCTTTCGTGACTGCAAGGATCCATACTCTTTGGTTTTATTCGGTAAAGTCACGTAGGTAAAAAATAAAACAACAAAAATCACGACGTTTCGGCCACAACACAAACGGCCTTCATCAGGTCGTAGTCTGAGCTTGGCTCTGTTTCACTCCAGCGCAGTCTTTGAGACAGTCTGGTCCCTTCACCTGATGAAGGCCGCTTGTGTTGTGGCCGAAACGTCGTGATTTTTGTTGTTTTATTTTTTAGCTACGTGCCTTTACCAAATAGAACCAAAGAGTATCTTAAAGTGACTATGTGACTGTGCAAACAGAAAAACCCAGGAAAAAAACAGCAAAACTTCCAGAAAAAGCACCGTACACCAACGCTGTGTGCAAAAATCCCAGTGAGATGCAAGTCAAACAACCACAAGACAACTTAGATTAAAGCCATCAGCTTAACTCCGTACTACAACAAACAAACATGGCCAAACTAAAAAACGTTTTCGACATCACCAAAATAAAGCCATAAAAGCAATGTAACAGTGATCATAGGAACTGTGACCGAATTTTCACATTAAACGACATAAACAACATGTAACACCAAACCCTAGAGCCAGAGCTGGCTGCATGAGTCACTCCACAATAGCAGGAGCATCAGTCGGTGTATCAAATTTTTCAATGCACCTTTAAAGATCAGCACACTAAATCATAACACAAGATCATACTTTGCAGCGGTCAAACGGAGCGAAACATTTGATTTTAGGCCACTGAATGGCAGTGGCAGCTAGGGGTGTACAACTCCTCTAGAACAGTATTGAGTGAAGATCTCATAGGTAGTGATTCAAGTTGCAGTTTATTGGCAATAGCATTCCAGACCCTGGGGGCATCAATAGCAAAGGCCCTTCCTCCAGTATTTGTACGGCAATAAGGAATGTGAAGCTGGTAAATGAGCGAAGACCTTAGGTCACATTTGTTCTTCGAAACAGAGAGGAGATCCAGCAGGTAGTCTGCGGATTTTTTTTAAGTACATCGTGAATAAATAAGATCTGATGCACAAGCCGTCGAACATTAAGAGATGTTAAGTTTGACCCAATGTAGAGATCACAGTGGTGGGTCCTATATGGGCAGTTCAATGCAAATCTTAAGGCCTAGTGATAAATTGAGTCAAGCTTCTTCAGTACAGTACTGGGGGCTGATTTATATACGATGTCACAGTAAAAAAATTATTTAAAGCTTTCGTGACTGCAGGGATTCATATTCTTGGTTCTTTCGGTAAAGTCACGTAGAAGAGTTTTCACACCTGATGGTGGTTGCTTGTGTTGCAGTCGAAACGTCGTGAGAATTTAGTTGTTTTGTGTTTTTATTATTTTATCGTTTCCCTTCTTCGTGACTTTACCGAAAGAACCAAGAATATGATGTCACAGTAATCAAGTGAAGGCAGTATGGTAGCTTTTATCAATTCCAAACGGAACATAGGGGGGAAGCAGTGCTTGTGTCGATACAGAAAACCTATTTTTATTTTTGTCTATTTACCAATATAATCAATGTGGTCTTCAAAATTCAGTTTTGAATCAAGGATGACCCCAAGATACTTATAGATCTTGACTTGCTGTATTTGATCATTATTTAAGGAATGTAATTGGGGAAAAATAACTTCCTGCTTTAGTCCTGGTGAGAAGCATAGCACCTTGGTTTTGGAGGTACTGTATTCAGGACTAGTTTAAGAGCAACTAGCTGATGTTGCAGTTTGTTAAAATTACCCTGGAGCTTAGCAATCACGTCATCCGGAGAGCGGCCAGCAGTAATCAGTATCGTGTCATCTGCAAAAATATTTACCCTGGAATTATCCAGGTGAGTGCCCAAGTCATTGACATTGAGATTACGAAACAAACCCAGCAGGTGCCATGTGTTAACTGACTGAGATGACCGGCAGATGCACCACCTGTGCCCCCCCTACTGCATCAATGATGATGACCCCGTGGTTGTGCCCCGTGGCTGGCCCCGTGTCGCCCACTTGCAGGAGGTACAGGCGCTGCGAGCTCAGATCGCCGACACGTCCATGTCGGTGGAGGTGGACAACGTGAAGGGCGCCGACCTGGCGCGCATCCTCGCCGACATCCGGGCGCAGTACGAGGCGATGATCGCTCGCAGCCGCGACGAGGCAGAGGAGGCCTTCCGCAAGCAGGTGCGGCACGCACAGACAAAACTCCCCCATGTAGCCTCCTGAAACACTGTTGGAGCGAGTGCTGCAAGTGAGCCATCGTTTGAGGATGAAAGACACACCACTCGACTAATCGCTTGAACCCTGACCCTCCTCTCTCTCTTCCTTGCTCTCCTCCTCTTTCTTTAAATCCACCGCTCCTCTCTCCTCCTTTCTCTCCTCATTTCTCCTCCTCTCCCCACCTCTCTCCTCCACCTCCCCGCTCTCTGCCCACCCCTTTCCTCTTCCTCCGCATTCCCGGGCCTCTCTGCTCCTCTCCCCCACCGCTCCCCCTCTTCCCGGCCCTGCTGCTGCTGCCGCTGTTGCTACTTGCAGCTGGAAACGGTGAAGCAGGTGTCGGTGCAGCAGAACCAGGTGACCATCACGGCCAAGACAGAGCTGCAGGAGACGCGGCGCTCCATGCAGGGGCTCCAGGTGGAGCTCGACTCCATGCGCAGCATGGTGAGTGACGTCCGCCAGACTCACAAAGCGACCCATGGACTCACATACAGACCCACAGAATTACATAGAGACTCATACACTCACATATAGACCCACAGAATCACATAAAGACTCATAGACTCACATATAGACCCACAGAATTACATAGAGACTCATAGACTCACATATAGACCCACAGAATTACATAGAGACTCATAGACTTACATATAGACCCACAGAATTACATAGAGACTCATAGGCTCACATATAGACCCACAGATTTACATAGAGACTCATAGACTCACATATAGACCCACAGAATTACATAGAGACTCATAGACTCACATATAGACCCACAGAATTACATAGAGACTCATAGGCTTACATATAGACCCACAGATTTACATAGAGACTCATAGGCTCACATATAGACCCACAGATTTACATAGAGACTCATAGACTCACATATAGACCCACAGAATCACATAGAGACTCATAGACTCACATATAGACCCACAGAATTACATAGAAACTCATAGATTCACATATAGACCCACATAATTAAATATAGACCACTAGACTCACATATACACCCAAAGACTCACATATACACCCATATATTTACAAAGACCAATAGATTCGCATAGATATCCATAGACTCACACAGAGACCCATAGGCTCACACAGAGGCTCGTAACCTCGCAGATCCGCTCGTTGGAGGACACCCTCGCCGACACGGAGGATCGCAACGCGCGAGACCTCTCGGGCTACCAGAACATCCTGGCGCGGCTCGAGGCCGAGCTCACGTCCCTGCGCTGCGACATCAACCGGCAGCTGAAGGACTACGCGGACCTCCTCAACATGAAGATGAAGCTCGAGGCCGAGATCGCCACCTACCGCCGCCTGCTCGACGGAGGGGACACCAAGTGAGTCGCGAGGGTGGTTGGTGGTGGAGGTGATGGCTGCAATATTGATGATGATGATGGTGGTAATGATCTTGATAATGGTAGTGATGATGGTGATGATGTTCTTGACAGTGACTGTGATGATTGTGATAATAATGGTGATTATGATGGTGATGATAATTTTGTTGATGGCGGTGATGATGATGGTAGTGATGATGGTGGTGCTGATGGTGGTGCTGATGGTGACGTTGATGACGATGGTGGTGATGTGTGCCACGCCCCGCAGGCTCGCCAACATCACCGCGGGCCAGGCCCCGACGGTACTGCTTCCCTCGGGCGGCTCTTCCTCCACCGCCAACCACGCTGGCTTCTACACCACCGGTGAGGCTCCACTCTTCCTCCTGCTCATTCCACTCCTCCTCTTACTCCCCCTGCTCCTGCTCTTCCCACTCATCCACCTCTTCCTCTCTTCCCACTTCTCCTCCTGCTCCACTTCCTCCACCTCATCCTGCGCTTCCCAATCCTCCTTCCGCCCCAACTTCTTGCTTATAAACAACTGGCAGTGCACCAGCAATGCTTTCAGAAAGCCTGACTCGACGGTTGAGACACTGAACGTCGAAACCGGTCATACTTGTTACATTATTTATATTCTCCACAACGATGCAATAATAACATCAAAAAGGCATCTTTTAACCTTTCTCGTTTTGACCTTCCACAGGAGGCAGCGGCGGAATGGGGTGAGTGTTTCCTAATTCACACCGATGTTGATGATGGTGTTATCAGAGTTATCGTTAAACCTTCAACTCTACCTAGACGAGAGACAGTTCAGACAATTATGCCGCTTTAGGCCCAACGAGGTGAGAATGTAAATAAATACATAAATAGCAAGATCATTATATTATTTTATCATTGCAGCGTAACAACAAGAGATCATGATGATTACAGCATTTTAGTGATGATGACAATATTATTGTAGCGATCATTATTATTACAGTGATGATGATTATATTGATGACAAAGATGTTGTTGATGATGATGATATCGATGATGATTTCGATGATGATGCTGTTGATGATTATAATGTGAATGATGATGTGAATGATGATGATGTGTATGCAGTGGCAGCTCCAGCAGCACGATGACCATCACCCGCTCGTCCTCGGGCAGCCAGGTCAACTAGAGCAACGGACTTGCGGCACGGTACGGCCGACGACTCCCAATATCGCCGAACCCACGTGGCGGATTAGGCCACGTGGTGCAGTATCACTAACCCTCCACCACCCGACGAGATTGCCACATTTACACAGTTAACGTGATGTACACCACAGAAATAAATGTGCTGACTTGAGACCTCTCATGACTGAGTTGAACATCAACGAACATTGGCATACAGCTATACCACGTGACCTAACCCATAATCAAATATGAATCGTTACGAAAATCTACACTTTGAGATAACTAACTTCATCCACAGCCATGACGCATAATTGTGCGTGTGTGTGTATGCATGCGTGTGTGTGTGTATGCATACGTGTGTATACATGCGTGTGTGTGTGTATGCATGCGTGTGTGTGTATGCATGCGTGTGTGTATGCATGCGTGTGTATGTGTATGCATGCGTGTGTCTGTGTGTATACATGCGTGTATGTGTGTGTATGCATGCGTGTGTCTGTGTATGCATGCGTGTGTCTGTGTGTATACATGCGTGTATGTGTGTGTATGCATGCGTGTGTCTGTGTGTATACATGCGTGTATGTGTGTGTATGCATGCGTGTGTGTGTATGCATGCGTGTGTGTGTATGCATGCGTGTGTATGTGTATGCATGCGTGTGTGTATGCATGTGTGTGTGTATGCATGCGTGTGTGTGTATGTATGCGTGTGTGTGTGTGTGTATGCATGCGTGTGTGTATGCATGCGTGTGTATGTGTATGCATGCGTGTGTATGTGTGTGTTTATGTATGTGTGTGTGTATGCATGCGTGTGTATGTGTGTGTGTATGCATGCGTGTGTGTGTGTGTCTGTCGACGGAGCCTTAAAGGAGCACACCGAGTGCGGTGCGTAAACAGCAGCATTGTGGAGACAAAGGTGGCCGGGCATGGTGCTCGCGACCTACCCAGTAGCGTAACGAGCGTGGGGGCAAGGGGCGCCTTGGCCTCCCCTGGTGGCCAAAGCTACGGGTTGGGCCACCCTTTTCATTTCACGTTCCAAGTTTTATTTTAATTAAATTAGAGCGGTAACGTGTGGCTTCCGCAAATGGGCAAATCAAATATTGGTGCCCCACTTGACGGCCGCGTGTCTCCGTGTGTGCCTTGCAGCTGTCCACGAGAGGAAGGTGTCATCGGTTTGCAGACCGCACGAGCCGAGGGTGACACGTGGCTTGCATTTGCTTGATCTTTTTTTACATAGAAACTCTCTACATCTCGACTCACACCGCGCGTCTCAACGGCAGCTCACACACGCGCCACATCGGTGACACAAGGGGAGGGTGGGACCCGAGAAACGATCAGCTCTTGTAGCTAAACACGTAAGGGTTTGTCCTGGGGTGTCCGACAGAAGTTTGAACCTTCGTGAATCATCATAATTATTGTTTTCAAAAGACTTTAAAATCATGGCTATCGCTGAACCACAATAATGTAATCTGGAGTATTCCGGAAAGTCGATTTGACGTGTTTTTTTTAAACATAATTAACGAATCTTCTAGCCCATGTGGGATAGTTCGGTGGCACGCAGGCTAAGTGTGTAGCTACAAGACAAGAGCTCTATTGATGACTACGCGTTAGGGCACATCCGTCGGTTTTCCGTTTCTATCCTTCCTCGATCCGAGGGGCTGGCCATGAGATGGGACTCTCCTTGGCCACTGGGCTCTGTTTTTGGCCGTTCTTGCGAAGAGTTGTCCCACACCGAGCCCTGCTCCAGCAACAGCGTCATCAATCCCAGCCCTTCTGAGTCAGCCTTAGCCTCTGTGTCCCGTCTGAGACGTGAGTCACCATCTTCTCCAGGAAGCCTCCGGGTTTCGGCAGGACGTATCGCAGGAGACGTCATCTCCGGAGCACGGCAGTATTTTTTCGACATCGACACGCCGAGACGTTTTGACTGAAGCGAGGGGACATCGTAGTTTTTGTCAGCCAGGGAGAGGGTGGAGGTGTACCGTCATTTGTGAAACTCAATTTTAAATACGACCATCAAGATGAGAGCGGTTTGTTTGTATTATTTTGGCCTGCGTTTTTAACGAAACCAAGAAAAGATATCTGAGAGTTCGGGTCAATGCGTCTGTGGGTGTTTTCCAGTTTAAAACCCGTTCTCGCCTGCTACGACAAACTCATCGGCAACACGCCCCATCTCAGCAGATTTCGGACGCCGAGCAGCGTTGAGCCTGGACAGCGCTGGCATCGGTAACCACCACCACCACTGTGTGCAGGAGGAGGCAGTTGTGGGAAGTAGAGGGTGTTGCATTACACTCCCCGCGACTACCACCACCAAACCTGCACTGACCAGCGTGATGAAGTATGGTTAAATAACCCCCGCGGTCCGCATGGTTAGGCCCTCATCCAGCAGTGGATTGGCAATCACGGTACTGGGCGTGTACGTGTAAGAAGGCCGGTGTGAGCCGTGACGAGCACTGACGAGGGTTGTGGGATGAGGTGTAACGGAGCCCCCCCCACCCCCCCCCCCTGTTACCCGCCTGCTTATTTTCTGTACCGGAGAAATCCACCCCGCCAAGACATTGGAGCAATAAAACGTCTGCATGAACAAATATAATGCTGTCAAAAATGTGTGGTTTGCAACTCCTGCGTGTTGTTTGAGCATGGCTTCAACGTGCACATAGCCTGGCGAATGTCGGTTGTTTGAGTATGGAGTGGCAGTGTAGTGAGAGGTTAGCGCTACGCTGCGCTACGAACCCAACCACCCGAGTTCGATTGCCGCTCACGGCTAACACCAGTGACGATTATCTGAACCGGTCCTGGGCCTCCCCTAGGTCGACTCAGCCTCACAATGATTACTTGGTGCGATTTGTAACCATTGCCATGAGGAAGAAAAAAGGCAGCCAGGCATGGTGATGGCCACCAATTCCCTCGAGTGCCATGCTGCCCTCTGTAACAGCACTTGCCCAAACAGTCAAGGCTATACGGGGGATCTTTGAGTCAAATTGTCGTGGTTTTAGTTTGACAACCCTAGTTGTATGCAGCTTAAATTGATCGAACGAGGACCCATGTCTTCAAGAGAGGCCTCCTCTTGCCTGTGACTTTCAGACGTTCACCATCAGCAGAATTAAGCAAAGCCCGACTCTGCTGATGAGACACTGGGTGTCGAAACTCGTCCAGAGATGGCTTGCAATGTATTGATCCTGCTGAAATGATGCACTCCCAGAAAGCCATGGGTCGATGTATTGTGTAAGAAACACTTTATTTGTATGTGGAGAGACATCTGGTCTCTGCTTATCTGTGTAGTTGTTACGTCACGGGTTTGTGTGACCCCCTCGCCATTCAAGGTACTCCTCTCATCGCAATGTTAACAAATCGATTCTAACATCGAACCACGACCCCGAGTCATCATAAAAAAATTAATCTGAATCTTATAAAGCGTCTTTCATATTGAAGTATCTCAAAGCGCTGTACATAAAATAAAGCTACACTCACAAGTATACACTCTAAGCGAAGCGAAATAGGAAGCTGATAATGACAACGTCAATAACTACTCTCGGAATATGACAAACTATTGTATTGAGTTGCTAGAGGGGGGGGAGGGTGGGCCAACCGATGCACCACCGATCACACACGACCGGCCCGGACACCAACAACAACCGCCGCCGCCATTCGCCACTGAGTGCCGGTGACGTCACAACGGCGCTTGTGCCAGGCTACGTGCACCTTAAGGACACGTGAAGTGTCGAACGCCCAGTGGCAGGAGGTCACGGGACAGACCCAGGTGCCATGGGTTGACTGAGACGACTTGCCGATGCACCAGCGGTGCCCCCCGACGATGCCAACTTGCTGTGTTTTATCCACCCGGCGCTCCACTCGTTGTTGTGAGCGGACACGCACAGACACACGAACCACAGACAGTCCTTGGCTTGGATGGGATTTTCTTTATCGCACAATTGCTGAGCGCAGGACCCGAAAGCGGCCAGCAACAAACAGCACCATCTAAGTTGAGAATTGGCACTTTTAGCAATGTTATGTCAGAGCTTGTGCGGGAAAGAGACGATGACGATGACGGGAGGAGGGAACTACAAAGTGCAGCAGTGCGAGGGTAGATGCAGAAAGAGAAGTGGAGTGACCTGCAGTGTGGCGAAGGAGTGGGTGGTTAGTGAGTCTGCGAATGAGCGGGTGGGTGAGTGAATATGCGAGTGGGCGAGGGAATGGGTGGATTTGTGAGTGGGCGAGTGAATGGGTGGGTGAGTGAGTGTGCGAGTGGGCGAGCGAGTGGGTGGCTCAGTGAGTGTGCGAGTGAGTGGGTGGGTTAGTGAATATGCGAGTGGGCGAGTGAATGGGTGAACGGGTGAATTTGTGAGTGGGCGAGTGAGTGGGTGGGTGAGTGAATGTGCGAGTGGGCGAGCGAGTGGGTGGCTCAGTGAGTGTGCGAGTGAGTGGGTTAGTGAATATGCGAGTGGGCGAGGGAATGGGTGAATGGGTGAATTTGTGAGTGGGCGAGTGAGTGGGTGGGTGAGTGAATGTACGATTGGGCGAGCGAGTGGGTGGCTCAGTGAGTGTGCGAGTGAGTGGGTCAGTGAATATGCGAGTGGGCGAGTGAATGGCTGAACGGGTGGATTTGTGAGTGGGTGGCTCTGTGAGTGTGCGAGTGAATGTGTGTGCTGGCCCTTCATAGGTGCTACTCGCTGACAGCACTTTCCCCAACAGTCTGTTAAGGCCATACGGGGGAAGCTTGTCTTCACCGTTGTAACCTGCAGTCTTTGGTGGTTGAACAGTGTGGAGTAGCTGCAAGAGTCTGGTAGACCGAGTCCTCAACACGAGTGGAGGAATCGGCGAGTGATGTTCACAGGAGCAGGCAACATTAACCTTGCTCGTAGGGATAGAACTTTGATGATGAGGCAATATCTCGCAGTCTCGGGTGATGAGTACACAGTGAGTAAGTGGTTATTGCAATGCACAGGCAGATATGTGGTCATGATGGAGATCATGATTAATGTTGATCAGGATTTAATATCACCCGGCACACCACATCCTGTAAACATCTCTATGGCTGTGGCAACGAGTCAAGTGTCACCTACTCCACCAGCAACCTGGAAAGCCCCGACTAAAGCAAAGCACATTATGCTCTGGCCACAACATATACATACCAGACAAAGATCCCCCGTGGAGCCTAAACAGACTTTTGGGGCAAGTGCTTTTAGCGAGTACCTATGCAGGCTGGAACGCACACGAGGGGGTGGGTGGCCAGCACTACAAATGGTGGATATGTACAGTGAGGGAAAAAAAGTATTTGATCCCCTGCTGATTTTGTACGTTTGCCCACTGACAAAGAAATGATCAGTCTATAATTTTAATGGTAGGTTTATTTGAACAGTGAGAGACAGAATAACAACAACAAAATCCAGAAAAACGCATGTTAAAAATGTTATAAATTGATTTGCATTTTAATGAGGAAATAAGTATTTGACCCCTCTGCAAAACATGACTTAGTATTTGGTGGCAAAACCCTTGTTGGCAATCACAGAGGTCAGATTGTTTCTTGTAGTTGGCCACCAGGTTTGCACACATCTCAGGAGGGATTTTGTCCCACTCCTCTTTGCAGATCTTCTCCAAGTCATTAAGGTTTCGAGGCTGACGTTTGGCAACTCGAACCTTCAGCTCCCTCCACAGATTTTCTATGGGATTAAGGTCTGGAGACTGGCTAGGCCACTCCAGGACCTTAATGTGCTTCTTCTTGAGCTACTCCTTTGTTGCCTTGGTCGTGTGTTTTGGGTCATTGTCATGCTGGAACACCCATCCACGACCCATTTTCAATGCCCTGGCTGAGGGAAGAAGGTTCTCACCAAAGATTTGACGGTACATGGCCCCGTCCATCGTCCCTTTCATGCGGTGAAGTTGTCCTGTCCCCTTCGCAGAAAAACACCCCCAAAGCATAATGTTTCCACCTCCATGTTTGACGGTGGGGATGGTGTTTTTGGGGTCATACACAGCATTCCCTCCTCCTCCAAACACGGCGAGTTAAGTTGATGCCAAAAAGCTCCATTTTGGTCTCATCTGACCACAACACTTTCACCCAGTTGTCCTCTGAATCATTTAGATGTTCATTGGCAAACTTCAGACGGACATGTATATGTGCTTTCTTGAGCAGGGGGACCTTGCGGGCGCTGCAGGATTTCAGTCCTTCACGGCGTAGTGTTACCAATTGTTTTCTTGGTGACTATGGTCCCAGCTGCCTTGAGATCATTGACGAGATACCCCCGTGTAGTTCTGGGCTGATTCCTCACCGTTCTCATGATCATTGCAACTACACGAGGTGAGATCTTGCATGGAGCCCCAGGCCGAGGGAGATTGACAGTTCTTTTGTGTTTCTTCCATTTGCGAATAATCGCACCAACTGTTGTCACCTTCTCACCAAGCTGCTTGGCAATGGTCTTGTAGCCCATTCCAGCCTTGTGTAGGTCTACAATCTTGTCCCTGACATCCTTGGAGAGCTCTTGGGTCTTGGTCATGGTGGAGAGTTTGGAATCTGATTGATTGATTGCTTCTGTGGACAGGTGTCTTTTATACAGGTAACAAGCTGAGATTAGGAGCACTCCCTTTAAGAGTGTGCTCCTAATCTCAGCTCGTTACCTGTATAAAAGACACCTGGGAGCCAGAAATCTTTCTGATTGAGAAGGGGTCAAATACTTATTTCCCTCATTAAAATGCAAATCAATTTATAACATTTTTGACATGCGTTTTTCTGGATTTTGTTGTTATTCTGTCTCTCACTGTTCAAATAAACCTACCATTAAAATTATAGACTAATCATGTATTTGTCAGTAGGCAAACGTACAAAATCAGCAGGGGATCAAAAACTTTTTTCCCTCACTGTATTTCATACACTACACATTAGGTGCCATTTAAGGCTGAGTTGACCTGGGGCTTGTGATTAAACAGAGCACGCCACTCAACTTATGGCTTTATCAGGGCTTGGCTCAAGCAAAGCAGGAACCTAGCGTAAATTCTTATTATGTTCTAGGAAGACGGGTGTTGACATTTGGCGCAAGTAGAATCAAGTCTATGCTAGGAACCAGAAACATCCGAATTACCGTGTATATATTTTTTTTATTTTGGCTTCCCCAAATTGCAATGCTGAGTTTCAAAACACGAAAATAGTGCTGTTGGTGTCCACGGCGTAAGTCCAAGAATCCATTCGGATATCTTGCTGGACCTTTCGCCAGGCTGTCGGGCAGCAGCAGAAATTATCCGGAAAAAATCCTGCAAGCGGCCTTTTACCAAAAACGCAGTTGTGTAGAGAGTAGTTTTTTTTTGTTTTTGATCTGTTCAAGTTACATTTGTTTTAACCAGGGCAGAAGTCGAGAGGCATGGAATGTGTGATGATAAAGACTTGTAATTGATGGCCAACGACACACAAGGAGTATGTATTAGTAATAATGTATTATCCAAGACGCGTTTTCATTCGTTGGAAGGACATTTGGAGTACCTGGAGAAATCCTTCCACCAATGCGGGTATCAACACGTTGGTGAAAAAAATAAGAATAAAAAATAGAAATAATAAAATCTATTTTTTATTTTTATTCTTATTTTTATTTATTTTTTCACCTACGTGACTTTACCGAAATAACCAAAGAGTATGGATCCTTGCAGTCACGAAAACTTCAAATCTAGGATCAACACGTCGTTGACTAATGAACCCACTTG